TATATTGTGGGGAATATAATCATATTATTATTATATTTATATTATTTATAATCAAAGAAGTTATCTTTAAATTATGATCATATTTTTCGGAAGTCTATAAGCTTCCATACAATATATATATTATATATATATTTATTTTCTTATGATTTATATTTATATTTTAAATTCAAACAAATTAAAATAACTTTTATATAATTTTACAACAATAAAATTATCAGTTCATTAACATTGTTAAATAAATATCTGAAAATTTTTAAATAACTGTGATAATTATTTGAACGTTTACAATCTTTGCTTTCAAAATCGCAGTATTGGACCTATTATTTATTCTATTTAAACTATTAAAATAAATAAAAATGTATATTGAATGAAATTAAGAAATTATAATAATTTTGCATTTCATCTACAAAAAAGCGCTTCTCATCTAACTTCCTAATCACCTCTCCATTTTTTAAAATTAATTTGGTGGTATATTAAACAGAATCTAGGCTATATGTGTTATTGGGTACAGATTTTTTGGTAACTGCAAAACCAGATAATTCAAATTAATAATGTAAATATAATTTCTGTAGATCAACCAATCATATTTAAGCCCGTTCGTTATGTTGATTTTTTATTTACTTTTTGTATTTTTGTATGGAAATTTACAATCTTTTAGTCAATCAATACCTTCTTCCTGAATGTCTTAATGCTGTGAAATACCCTGGTAAAGTTTGTTCCTAATATGTGCTGATGTTCTTATGATTTATAACATAACCTATCACTTGTGATCATTTAGCCTTTTGGGAGAGTACAGACGAGCCTTCACTCAAAAATTTTTTAGATTTTCGACTTTCTGCTGGCAATTTAAAAGACATGAAAACTGAGCATAATCACTACAATAACGAACTGAATGAAATCAGTAAATTCTACACTGAAGTATCCGAGTCTGGACAAGAAGTGCTAGGGTGGAAAAAAGCTTTTAAGGCAAGTAAATTGTACATACTATTTTGGATTAGGATCATGAGTACATCAACTACTCTACAACCCATCACGCTTGTAGTAGGAATGACTGCTTGTCTGTTGATGAGCTATACTCCACGAACCATCTTGAAACCCTTCATACCATTGAGTACATCAACTACTCTACAACCCGTCGCGCTTGTAGTAGGAACGACTGCTTGTCTGTTGGTGAGCTATACTCAATGGGCTTTGGGAACCATAGTGCTCGTGAAAGATAGTTATTCAATAATTGAATACAATCTGGTAGTGATGTTAGCCGGCTTGAGCCAATCAAATTCCATTCTCAAAAATAATAAAAAATATTCATTCATTTGTAATGCCGCCAAAAAAGGAAAAGAAAACTAATGCACAAAATAAGCAATTAATTAGTTCCAACACTCATAGCAAAGCAAATTCTTGGTCTGGTGGGTCATTGCATAACAATATTAACAATGGGTTAAATAGCAGTAGTAATATTAATAGTATTAGTAGTGGTAGTAGCAATATTAATAATTGTATTAGTAGCAGTAGTAGTAATAATCGCAGCAATGATAATAATAGTAGTAATGATAATAATAGTATTAATAATAATGAAACATTTGATTATGATAAGTTAAATAGCAATAGTATTTGTAGTAATAATAATATTAATATACTGTTTTTGAGAGAAAATTATAAACTTTTTGATCAATAAGTTGATTAATTTTTTTAATTTTTATATTAATTAATTTTTTATTATGTTTTAATTGAATTTTTCAATAAGAATAGAATAAATAATTCATTTGATCAAATGTTAGCTGGCTAGAATTTTTTACCATATTCATCAGCGTGAAAATGAATTTCTATATTAATACTAAAAATTTTTGGAAACAAAATTCTAATTGGCCAATTTAAATTTCACGCACAACGTTTAGTAAAATAATAAAAAACCCCGATTTTTAATGAATTCATACAAAGTATTAGTATGTTATTTGTCTACTAAATTATTAGATAAAAAATTTATTCAAGTTCTTAGCCGGCTAACATCACTAATTGTTGTGACATCCATTGCAAAAACTGTTGGTATGACTTGTCTCTTGAAGGGATCTCAAGAGATACAAACATTTGTGTTATGGTAAGTCCATACATTAAACCTTTTCTTAAAACTGCTAAGCCTGCTCCTACTTCAATAACTCCAACTCCTACTGAAAAATGCCTGATAATAATGATTCTACCATTTCATTTAAAACGCGCGTCACTAAAGTTTCAAAGTGAGTGTCTAAAAATAATTTAACAGGTGCTCATATAAATGCAAAATCTCTTAAAGGGCAAGACATTAATGTGATTTTTGGAATAGTCGGGACTCCATTAATTGAGGTAAAATAAAAGAATGCTTCATTTTTTTGGGGATAAGTGTACATTAAAATATTTACATTTCTGAAGGAATACGCTTTATAGGTTTTCATAATCAGTTATGGTGGATGAATATAACTAAAATTTACTCGATTTTTTAATTAAATTCCAATTATTTTCTTCCCTGCTGTGATAAGTATAATATTTTCTTTTTAAATATACATATTCATAAGAGTCTATATATAAAAACAATGTTTTCGTTATTAATTAGGTGTGCTTAGTGGTATCAGTCCTGGTGTTGTACATGCAATGACAGGAATGGCAAGTGTAATGAACGCAAAAGTAAATTGTTGACCATTGTTGCTTCTTGGTAGTTCGTCGGATATTTACCAGAAAGGAATGGGTGCTTTCCAAGTTATATCAACCAAACAATAAATATTCAACAAGACCAACTAATCCAAAACAAATTCTAAATATCATTGACAAAGCTATAAAGTTTTTAAATTATGTCGAAGCTGAAACCATCGTGAAAATTTTTGGATTTAAATCTTTCTAAATAAGTTTGATGTCACGTGAAAATTGCATTTATTATTTTATATACAATAAAAATAAAAAAGATTGTTTTTCTGTTTTTTACTAGCTCAAAGGAATATTTTTCACCCCACAAAAATCCAAGGAACATTTGAATAATATGAAATTTTCATTTAACTAGCTAATTTACGCGGTTAAACTGATTTAATGATTTTCCCTGTTATCTTTTTCACACACACATGCAAGTCCCTACAAAATAGGTCTTTTTGTTACAAGAAGCCATTTATTAATTACGAACTTACATTAATCTTTTATACGCGTCTAAATGATATTATCATATGATTAAAATCAACCCCACACATGCATGTATTTAAAAAAAATAACCCAGCAATATCGAATCAATAATATTTAATATAAAAAAAATTTCTTTTTGGCATGGTTTTTATTTTATTAGCTTTAGTTTTTTACTTATAAAAAAAATAAAAAATATTTTTTTAAAAAGCTATAACGCTTAATAATCATTAAAATCATTATATGAAAAAAAAAATATTTCCAAAAAAAAAATTTTTTTTAAAGTTGTGGTGAAAAATGAAAATGAAGAAAAAAAAATTTTTTTTTGATTGCAATGATATACTACATGATCAAAAAAAATCAATTAAGAAAAATGCTTTTTTTTTTTTTTGATATTTTTGTTGTGTGAGAATTTATTTTAAAATAAAAAAATCCCTCAAATGATAATAATTAAAATAAAAAAAATTTTTGAAAAATATACAGAAAAATTGTTTTTTTTTAAATTAAAAGATTATTCATAAAATGATATCATTAATTATTAATATATATATATTAATTATATATTAATTAATATATTATATATGTTATACCCTACTATATCCTATATCACAATCATTACTATATATTTATAACAATATTTTTATAAAGTGTTTGATCTTCTGTTATGAGAACGTCGAGATGATGATGTTGTAGTCGCTGCTGTAGTTGTGGTATTGTTAGTAGTAGCAGCTCTGTAATGGGATGTAGATGATGATCGTTTACGAGTTGTTGATGAAGGTATTTTACTGCGGTCTTTCTCTTTTCTGCTATTTTTATTATTATTGGTTGGAGAATCATAGCCTGTCAAGTATCTCATGTATAAGAATGTTTCTGCGATACCCACAATAACACTGCCAGATAAAGCAAGTAATACACGCTATATAATTGGAGAGATGAAAATAAGCAGTATAATAAAATAAGTTTAGTTATTTATCATAATTATTGGCTGGCTATAAAACTGTAATTCATTATAAATATTCATTATTTACCATTCCAGTGTCACCAGTAATCGTTTGAGCAACATGATAAACAGCTGCGAATACAGCAACAACGGTAAAGGTGATGTTGATGATGGCAGTGAGTTGACCACGAATACTTTGGAACTCCTCGGTATCAAGTAATTTAAAAGTCTCAACATCATAAGAAGAGGCAACTTTGCCAACCATACGAGCATATTCTTTATTGGCTTGTTCTGCTAATATTTTTTCTAATTTTGCAACCAATTCAGGACTCTAAATTATGTGTGTGACCGTGAGAGGGAGAATAATTGTTAATTGATTTGTTTTTATAATTGGTCATTTTTTAATGTTAATAAAAACTTTCTAAATTAATTAATTAAAAAATTTTTTTATATATGTATTGTATATATATATATATATAAGTACCTTGACTTTTTCTTTACGAGGCTGTACATAAATTCCACTTCCAGTAAGCAATTCGTGTAACCAATAACTAGAAAGACCTGAATGAATTAGAAAATGGAAAAAATAGTAAATTATTAGTAAAATGGCGTTTTTTTTTCATGTGTACAACAAAGTAGATTAATTAGAAAGATGTGTGTGTTGTTTGTGTGAAAGAATAATTCTGGCTAATAAGAATTTTGCAAAATAGAAGAAAAAAAAAAAAGAAAAAATTTACAACAAATAAAAAGTTGACCTAAGAAATAACACTATTACTATTACTATTATAAAAAAATACCGGAAATTTTAAGAATATCCGAACATTATTATTTTTTTTTTTTTTAAGAAAATCTTTCTAAAATGGGTTACTTGAAAAAACGAAATTCTTTTTGTGACGACATTTCGCGCCCTAATGGCAACTCGGAGAAATAAAATAAAAAAAAACCGGAATAATACGGGATATAGTGTGATAAGGACACCAAGATTTTCCAAATATAGTAAGAAGAAGTGTCAAATTTGAAATTTGACATAAATAAATTCACAAAATAAACGGGTATTTATTATATAAAGTAAGAGTAATAATAATAATTAATTCTAATAATTAATTTACTAATATAATGATATTTCCTTTTTTTCTTACCAATTTCTCTGCCCAGTTTTCCATCACGACTCACTAAGAAGTTGGAAACCTCCTTGATAAGGTCCAATGGAATGCAAGCACTTGCTTTCAAATATGATCTCAAACGTTGTCTTGCTGATTCATCAAATTCTGGCGATTGTATAGCTTGATAGATTGCAGTTCTGATACGTTCTGTCAATACCAATAATACCATGTTTAAGAAGATTATAAAATTTTATAAAGAAAGTATATAATATTGTATGTAAATGTGAAAAAGTATGAGAATAATGAAAAGAATATAGAGAAGTGAGATTTATATTTTATAAAAATTTAAAAGTTTGGTTTTTGGTTCTTATAATAATTTTTGTCGTTACAATCGTGTAAATTTTTTTTATTTCGTTATTTCGTCACAAAAAAAATAATAAAGATGACTTAAAAAATCATAAATTTTAAATTTTAATTATATAATTTTTTTTCTTCCTAAAAATTTAAATAAAAATTTAGAGAAGAGGAGAGAATGTGGAAGAAAAAAAAAGATGGGAAAAACTCGTTATTTGAGTAAAATTATTTTTTTAAAAAAAAAGAGGATGAATTACTTTCAATATGTTATAAAATATGAAATTTATTTAATTATAAAAAAATTAAAAGAAATGAAAAAAAAATAAAATATGAGAAATAAAAAAAAAGACGTCGTAAAGAAACAAAGTTCTAAATTAAAGAAAATTCCTTACCTCTATCTCTATTTATATGTAAATATTTATACAATGATAATGGTGTTGTTATTTGTGGTTACGCTGACGCACGTTTTTAATTGATTTATATTGATTTTAGTTGTTGATATGTATTGATTTTTAATAATTGATTAATTTATATTAATATAATTACTATTATTATTATTTATTATTAAAATAATAAAAAACTTTTAAGAAAAAAAAAAAGTAAAAAAAGAAATTGTCAATAATAATAATAAATTAACATTAATTAAATTATAAATAAATTTTTTTTAACCTTATGAAGATTTATTCAAATTCAAACAAAAAATGGTGAATTTACAAATTTAACGATAAAGTATAATAATGATGATTACGAAAATATATTATGAATTTTTTTAATAATGCATATAATTTTAGGTATTATTATTTGAAACTACAATATATAATATTATGTAGTAGGTTTACTTTATGTAGATATTCTATTATGCACATGCACACTACAAATATGCGTGACACAATCAATACATACTGTGGCCAAAGATTATCGTAGTTAGTATTAATTATACATTGTATATTAATATGTATGCATGTTAAATATTACAAAAAACGTGTTGCCATTAAAAGTAATGAAAATCAAAAACAAGGTGTCCAAACATGCATCATTACAGACAATTATTATATTATCATTTATGTACGAAGGTGTGAATATATTATCATGAATGAATGAAAAAAACAAGACAATAGATATACAATATACATTCACAACTCTGAAAAATTCACCACTTTACTTGTTTCATCTTCATTCTATTCTTCTAATTTATACCAAACATATTGATGAAATGCAAATGATTTCCTTTTTTAATTATTTTATCTAGAAAAAATATCATATAAGGCTGAGTAAGAAGAATCATTATAATGCATATATTTGTTTGTTTTTTGATTTTTTTTTTGAGAGCTGGACCGAGTGGTTCAAAAATTAGATGATTTACATTGTATTTTTATATTGTTCAAATTCTATATTCACATGAAAATTCATAAGTTTATATATATATAAAAAGAAGATCTACAAAAAATTTTTTTTCCTTTCTATCAGCCGATCGGATTTGTAATAACTATAAAACTTTAATTATTTTAAATTTGTTTCCCTAGTACCAGTGATATTTCATTAACTAACATTAAGATATTTTTTTACGATAAGAAAATTCAGCAGGGGAAGTTATGATATAACCTATTTTACTTCGTCCGAGAAATTTAACGATGATAATCGCGGCGAACTTAGCGAATCCTGAATTTGTCTCATATATGTTATTATTATTCCATCACGGCCAGAGAAAATAGGATAAGCCTACCGGAAAATGCCTAGGTGCAAAAATCGCTTCATAAAAATCAATAATAGTTCGCTTAAACCCAAATTTTTTTAATTAGTAGTTATATATTTCAAATATTTTTTTAAATATTAAAAATAACAAATAGGACTTTCCATTTTTTAAATAGTTTTGAATGAAATACCTAATATAGACCAATTTTGTCAATAATAAGACAAGAAAATTCATGGTGTTCACAACCCTAAATAGGGCTGGGAAAAAGTTGTTGTATTTTCCCTTAAAAATTTTTTTCTAGTGCAGGTAAATTTCCAAAGTAAAAATGGAAATAATAAAAATTTTAAGAAAAATTTAAATTTTAAAGTTAATTGTTAACAATTTTTTTGATCATACATGGATCACACGATTGTTTTTAACCAATTAAATACCATTTTGTTAA